ATATCAAAAGGAATGACCATAAGCTATTATATGAGTCACAGTCATCCCCAATGCGCCTAACAATTTGGCATCCTTGGTGTAAGACCCCCTCAGGCCGGGGGTTTGAATCCCCTTTTGGTGATGTGAGACTCAATGAGGGTGATATTTGAATTGTTAGCCACATTAGGAGTGACTGCAAGTTTGTATAGGTCACTTTTTATAATTTAAAATTCATTTAGGGTTATTTTATGGGAATAAATTTATTACTATGTATAATATATATTGGGAAATTATTTGTTTAATGTGATAAAAAAAATATCATATTTTGAAATAGATTATTAAATTCAGGTGCATCTTTCTTTTATGTCAGTACAAGTAAAACTTAAGAATTGATCAAATCCTTTTAACAAATAATAAATGCAGTTTTATATTTGATTAGTTTATTGAATGAAAGAATTAATTAATTAATTATAAATTATGCAGGGTTATAATGAAAGTACTTCTGAGGTTTTTAGAGGGAAGCATGTTCCTTATTTTAATTAGATATTGAAAATTTTAATAATTAACAATTGTATGTTGTGTCTATTGTTTTGGAAATTAGATGAGTGTGACTAGATCTTTTTATATATATATATATATATATATTGAGATGACATTATATTATTCATATATGTATAAGTTGCGTAGAGATACTTATTGTGATTTAACAATACATATGTTTGTTTGAGTGGTTTAGAATTTCATCATAAACTCCAAAGCTAACTATGATCTTATGGGATCAAACCTAGGATGGGTGACCTGTTGGGAAATTACATTATGACGATAGAATTGTGAGAGCATTTGATCAAAGCAGATAATATCTAGATGGACAAGCTATTACAAATAGTAAAGGAGTATTACAGGAGTCTGAATATAGGTAAAAAAGGATTAAACATACTCCGATGCCTCAAGATTCTTCTCACTTTTACCGTGTAATCCATTATATATGGATAGTGTCTCTTATATTGTGTCAACAAATTCTAAAATTATTTAAACAATGATTAAACATACTCCTAAACTTTAATTTTTACATACATTCTACCTTCTCTATAATTGAAAAAATATATATCATTTTCTAAAGGTTAAAAATGTTAGTATTTATCTTGTAATATGAAAAATTAGGGAGGGTTAGACATGTAAATGCATAAGAATTGAGTGGTATGCAGGCAACGAGAAGAAATTTTTAGTGCTAAACCATTCCTGCCGCCTTCAATTTTCTGCGTCGGAGGTGATCTGGCAGATGAAGCCTTATCGCGATAATTGTAGGAATCCGCACACTGACCTCGGCTTCCCCGTCAGCCCGTATCCTCTGAATCCTCTTGATTTGTGCTCCTCTCTTCGGCAGTGATCGGCAATGGAAATTGCAAGAAACGCCGTGTTTGCACCTTGCCCCACCCTCCCGGCCCCGCCCCGCTTGTTTCTGACGCCGGTGGTGGTGAGGTTCTGCGGCGGCCGGAGGGAATTGGTGGCGGCGGCTTCGCTGGACAAAGAAGGGGTTGGAGGTGAAGGTGGCCGCGCCGCTTGGAGGAACCTCAGTATGGCCAGTTCTAACTATGTGGTTCCACTTGACGTGCAGACACCGGGTCTCATTCGCCCTCTTGCAGAGATCCTGCGCGACCTCAACCGGCGGGTTTCGGAGAAGATCATCAGCCCTGAAAATAACTCCATTCCATGGTATTTCGTTGCTGTCGGCTTTTCGTTTCCGGTTTATTATACTTTTTTCTCATTTAATGATTGGCTGAATGTTTTTATGATCGATTGAAGATTTGTTAAGTCGTTTTGATGGAGTAGGATCTACTAGAAACAATTTTCTGCTGTGTTGATCGGTTGTGTAGCGATTGAGTTTCTTTGATCCTGCGCTATTCAGTAAGACCCTATGGTTTGGCAGGAGTGGTGTGAGTAAACTTATTAGAGAAGAATAATGAACGCTGGATTTGTTGAATGTATTTTAGACGGCTTAATTTGTCTTGTTATTTCTGTTAATCTGCTCGATTGTCTTATGAGGATTATCTACTTGATTTTGAAATATAACCTACAAACACACCTATGTACGCGTACCTTATTTCGCAAGCTTCTTTTATTTGCATAAAGTTAAGCAAAGGTACAATGAGTACATTTTTTCTCTCGTAGATGGTACAATTTTGATTATACAATTATAAAACTTATTTGTTACATGCAGACATTTCTCTAGAACGCATATTTGCTAGGCTTCCTTCTGTATTTACTTAGGGTGGTTTGGTTGACCCTTTTAAGAGGATTTACGTTGGATTTACATAAATCCAGCCAAACGCCAAAAGCAGGGGAGTTAAATCCAACGTTTCCCTAAATCCATTTTCTTCTCCACCATAATGTAAATCACAGATTTTCTAAATCTGATTAATAGGTAGATTTAACAGATTTAAGGAGGAAGGTCCCGTCGCTTTTCTCATCACAGAGGAGTAAGAGACTCGATCGCCAAACATTGCAAATAGATTTAATTGGATTTAAATTAAATCTTACTAATTTATTTTTTTTGGATTTCACACATCTGGATTGATAAATCGGGATTTATAGGATTTACTAAAATCTATTTAACTTAAATCCTTGGTGCAGCCTAGTACCTCCTTAGCGTCTATTTCTTCATAATTTAATAGTTTAAGCACCTTTGTTTGCTTCTGCTTTCGATTGATTGAACTGTTAAAGTAAAAACATTAATGTCTTTGCATCTTCTACCAACTTTCATCACTTAGGAATTTTTTTTACTTCCCAATCAATAGTGGCACCATAATGCACTCTTCATACTATCATTTTTGAATTAGCCCTCAAATTTCTATTCTCTCATTGGCATTCCTCAATGATTTGTGGGGCACTTTGTTTGTTCACTATTGGTGGGTTTTTCTTGTGAATGTGAGGTTTCATTAAATCTGTGAAACCTCATATAAATCTCATTCAACCCTACTAGTCAACAAGTGGTTTCAATAAATATTTGGTGGGCTGATTGACATCTTGCTTTCATAAGAACATCAAACCCTTCATCTATGTTTGTTGTTATTGTTTATTCATGTAGTCCCATTAGTAGTTTTTTACTGATCTGGTAACCATGTATGTATATTACAGGTAATTATTTCAATTAGATAGCTTAGGTGGATACCAGAAATAATAGGAATTTTTAGACTCTGAGCGGTACAAATCCTTATGCTGCATCTTTAGTTCTACATTGTCTATCCAAGCTCCTAATTTCTATGTCAATTTATAACTTATCATATTCCAAAAGCTCGTTTCTTGAATGAAGGATTTAATATCTTCTATTCTTACTTGCTTTTTTTTTTCTTTTTTTTTTAATCTCATAAGTTCGTGTCATTGCTCGAGCATCCATATTCTTTGAGGGAATTGCCTTAGTTTTTTTTTTTTTCAGGATCATTATAAATTATAACCTTATGCTGACAGCGTTCTTGCCAAAATGGATGCCCAGGCGCAATCTTTTCATATAGAAGCTAATCAATGTAGTGTAGCATCTATCTTTGCACCCATCACTTTGTTTTCTTAAAATAAAAATTTACACCACACAAAAATTGATTAGAACTCAACTTTCACATAAAATATGCAGTTAATATTTACTACAAGAGTTGAAAGAATATTCATGAGGAAGTACTTGAAAGGCAATGTCATTTATTTTTTGTTCATGAAATTTACTTGGAGCTCATAAAACATGAAACTTATGTTTTTTATCATTTTGACAGTTTCTATTATTTCACACCACAGACAACTTACCATTACATATGCTAAAGGAGCGCATAATGCATGCTTCTTCACCTGCTAGTTATTACATTTATATTTGTAGTATAACGAACTAATCCACACAATGGGTGATCTTAAAGTTCATAATAATTTGCAACATCTTTTATTCCTATCTTTAGTTTTTGTGAATTTGAATGTTGTGGGGATTGGGTCACATAGTATGGGTACTATTACAAACTGGTGATGCACCCAAACTTGCTTGTATAGTATGGAGTTGCTAGCATTGAGACATCAATCATCCAATATGGAAATGGTGTACCATATTTCATAAATGTAGCCTACATTTGAGACCCGTATTGAATAGTCCCCTTTAGTTGCGCTCTAGTTTAAGTCAAGCGATAGCTATTATTATTGGAGGACTGAACCGTGGCTTGCTGCTCCTTCTGTTAGCCTTGGATATGGAATCGTAAATGGATATGGATCTATTTATATCAATGGTTTTATGTCTGTAAAAATGGATGGTGTGTTAGGTTGGCCTTTATATGCTGATGTGCTAGGTTCAACAAATGCTAATGATGCTAAGCCACTAGGAATGTATGTTTTAGGATTGTCGAATGTCCTGAAGATGGTACATCTCGACAACGTAAGACATGATGAAATGAATTGAACATGTTTTATATTCTTAAAAAAAAACATTATACGTAAGTAATAATAAAATGTAATTTTTATTTCATATATGAGAGTTTAACTTTTCTAATTAAAAAAAAAAAGGCCAAACTTAATTGAAATAACAATAAAGCAACAATAACCCAAAACTCAGAAGAGAAAAAACAATAAATAAAATAAATACCAAAAATAACAAAAAAAAAATCTAGAATTGGAATGTTCGCTTTTGTGGAGCCGGTTCTGCAAGTGGCTGAATAGAACCTGTGATGCAAAAATATCAACGGATGAGTTTGACAAATTAAATTCAGTAAATAACTACTATTTATTAAACCATAACCGACAGGTACTTGGGTATGCATTATGAATAACAATGATGAACCATTACTATGTGCATATATTTATAAGACAACAATAGTGTTGTGAACATTTCTATGAATATGCTCAATTATCTTAATGAAACATGTAATCTTTTCAAATTCGATCAAGTCTCATCAGTGTATAACTCATAAGTTATTTATTATTCAATTTCAATTTAATTTATACTCTACGGTCAATTTTATCAAATACCATGAAACTGGGAAGGTAAACACTAACTCAAGGAAATCCAAAAATTTCTCTTAGATTCATCACTATGTGCGCCCATCGGCCTTACTAGTTAATATCCAAAAAAGATTACACCGACCCATAAGCCATTGCATACAAGCATACACAATTGTAATTTTTTTCATAAATAAATATATAAGTAATATACTACTTTACACAAAACTAGTACTATGATAAAAATCTACATGCAATTCATGAAGTGCAAAAAAGAAAAAGTTATAATTGTAGAATTTGGTCAATCTTGCAGGGAGTTGTGCAACAATAAAATAAGATAGCTAATTACTTCAGTATGGGTAAGAAGTGAAGCCTTTAATAAGTGCAAACAAGAAATATAAATGAAATAACAAGAGCAAGACCGATAATCCTATAAAATAACTATGAATTTAATATGAACATGAAGAATAATGCCCATAATTTCGAAGGATACTTTTATCCTCTAATAAAGAACAGTTATTTACCTTGAGGTGGGTAATAAATATCTTAAAAGTTTTAGCGGTTTAACAAATGTCAGCTATTAAGATTTATGTCCTACACAAATCAAACTCAAATAAATGTTAACTATGCACATCAATGTATTAAAATTTATTATTATTATTATTATTATTATTTTCATATATATATATATATATATATATATATATATATATAT